AATGGCTGGCTTTAAACATCTTACTTTCCTGGCTAGTTCCTGCTTGATTTTTCATGAGATCAGCATGTATCTTTTTTAGCTTTCTCGCAAATAATTGTTTCTGATACGCTGTCGGCAATATACTGTTTTTCAGTTTTCCAAAGCAATAGCAATTTCTCAACATGATCTAATGTCTTTGATATCTGTTCATAAATTGATTTAACACTTTTCGCAACGTTAGCAGATTTATAATGTCTTTATTTTTCATGATTGTTGATATCGTCGTTCTCAAAATAAGGTATGCAACAGTTAAATCTCAAACACGCATGCCACCTTCATATTTCTCAACAATTTCTTTTTTCAGTTCCATTGTAATTCTAGTAAATTTTTTTAGTTTTCTGTTGCTTTTCATTTGTCCTTTTGCAATTCATGATTAATAAAAATTAAAATCAGAAGAAATTTAATAAAGTTATAAACCATTGCACTACGAACGTCTAGTCTGGTCTAGTACACCGATAGTGCTACTTGTTCATAGATACCACATAATTGAATTAAGTCGTATACTGAACAAAAGTCGTACACCGAGCAAAATTTGTTTCGTCCAAACAGGACATATTCTAAAGCAGACACATACTGAGGTACCACTGTACAAGAAAATCTTAAATTAATTAATCCAGTCATTAATGTGCATTACATGAAGTCATGCTAATTCAATATAATAAACAATAGGAATAATTACAGTTATTCATCAATATACCTAAATTTTTTTATATAAATATAAGTTATATTAGGATATAGCCATTAAAATTAATAATAAATAATTGTGTAAATACCTATTTCATGCATAAATATATTTTATTTAAATATTTAAAAAAGTAGTAGCTAAATAATGTTTGAATAGTGCTAACCTTTTTTCATTTCCTCATACAATTTGGCATCATCCATAAATTATGCAACACTATTTTTTATACTTTTCAATTACCACCACCTGTAACACTCCATAAAGCTGTCTCATATTCCCACCCCCAAAATTACATAACACAATCCTTGATCAACCCTTAACTGTACTATGGAATAATAAACAACACATCATGTTGCTCTTTGGCAAGAAGTTACAATAACTAAATCCCTATACAGTTAAACACCACCAGTCAATCTAAAGACCCAAGTATTACATAACATTTTTGAAAATACTCTCACTCTCTTGTAATGCATCATAATAACTACTTGTATATCCACCCAAACTGTGTTATATAATTTATGGACAGATCCTTGTGATAGGTGGGATTGCCTTATCAAGATTTCTCCATACTTCTGCATTTCTTTCCATGTGAGGATCTGCATCAAACCAAATTTCTTGGCATGTGTGATCAAAATCAAGTTCAAACTTTATGGTTAATCTTTTAGTTGTAAATTCTCTTCTTGTTTGCAATCCTATAATGCACATATCACTCACAGTGACACTAGTGCCCTCTCAGATTCCATAGTTTATACTTTTTCCCTCTCAAATTATAAAAAAATTCAGCTATTGTAAAAAATTTACATTAACTGATTATTACATATATTGAAAGTCATGTTAAGCAAGGTTTGCCTGTATAAGTGCAAATTCTAAAATAATTATTAGCATTAAAATATATCCTATTATACAGAACATCAGTAGTAGTTTGGCCAAATGCTTTTGTGATATGCAACTCATAGTAGGAAATTGCAGAATAAAGATTACTAAAGTCGTCATAATAGATATATTTAGTTTGAAATACATTGTGCAATCAAAAAGAACCAAACTCCTCTGCTGTTCAATAATAGTGTGAAGTAGTCTTCAAGCCACTAAGGATTGCTGCTTTACACATTTGAGCATCAATCTGCCACAGTGGTATTGAGTCTAAGACTAGAATACAGTAGAGCGTCAATTATCTGAATCAATTGGGGACTGGGGTTGTTCGGAAAATCGATATTTCGGATAACCGATTATGTACGAAAAAATATATTAACCTATCCCATGTTGAAATTTTTCTCTGTTGCGTGTTGCTTTGCGTTGAATTTTCGTCGATGTTAAGCCTAATGAAGACTATTGTATCGTTAAAAAAAATTTTTTTTTTTATTTTGTACGAACAAAATAAATATATTGAAAAATATAAAAACAATAAAAAATTATACTTCAGAAGTTAATTTAGTATCAAAAACGTAAAATATTTGAGTAGCCCAAAACATAGCCAAAGATTGCAGCGCCACAGCACTGGCAAAAATTTAAATTTGCCAACTGGAATTCTTTCGGATAATTGACGTTTCGGATAATCGACGTTCTACTGTACTTATTAATATGATTGGACTGCAATTTGAAAAAATTATAGACCTATAAATTCCCACTGTTGTCCATCTGTCCTGAGAATGGAGTTAGATACATGAAAGTCAAGACCAGATATAGAAAGCTTAGGGGCAGGAGACATTGATTAACTATATAAGAACTTCCAATGCAAACTGGAAGTCACATCACCTCAATTCAAAACTTTTCTCCTGAAAGCAGTTAGATATTCTTGAATAGCTGATAGGAATCCATTGCTAACAGAAAAGTATGATGTAGAGGGGCAAGACACTACAGTACCAATTTGAGGTGGAAAGCATATATTTTAAATTAAATAAATTAAAAAAATGGTTAATTTTGTAAAGTCATGCTGTGATTTGAGTACATACTAAAAAACTGAACAAAGAACAAATGTTAAATTTTGCATTAAAATCTTGGAAAATCTGTCACAGAGACACTTAAATTACTTTGAAGGTCTGTGGCAACTAAGCCATGGATAGGACCACAATCTAAAGCAAAAGGCAGCAAGGTAAGTCAGGAGTGTAACAAAGAGCATGCTGACCATTTTTTCAGTCACAAGAAAATTGTAAACCCAGTAATTTGCTTCCAGTCAGACAGTAAATTTAGTTTTACTCTGGCATTTTAAGACAATTGCATAAGGATGTTTGTCATAAAAGATGAACTTTAGTGCAACTAAACATGCTCCATCAATATGATGCTCCCATACACTCAGCATTCAATCCATGAACATTTTTAGCAAAAAATGGCATGAGTTTACCCCATCTCCTTACTTGCTGAATATAGTTCTCTAAATTATTTGTTTTTGAAATTGACAAAGCAAGAGGTGGCATTTTAATATGGGCAAGGAAATCCAACCAAGATCACAATAGATTATTTGGAATTTGAAATAATGACTTCCAAAGTGCTCGAGGTTTGGCAGAAGTCATGGGATTACTGTTTAAATGCAGGGGAGGACTACCTTAAAGGGGATAGTAGTCAGATGTAGATTAGTCAAATATCAAAATCTTTACACCCACCAGTGTCAGAGTGAATAAAACCACTAAACACTGGTAGCTAGTCGTGGATTTGCTCCTCACCAATGAGGTGGCCACATGGCATTTTCTTCATGTTAGTAACACCTAAATAGGGGCCAGTTTTCCTTAAAAGACATCAGCAGATTGCTCACATGTTGCCATAACCAAATAAAATCAATCAAAATCTTTTTAGACCAAATCTGTTTCTTTTTGATCACACCCCATAACCTATTTAGTAAAAACAACCAAACCTTCTTAACAAGGACACAAGTAGTGCAAATTAATTTTATTATAAGTAATTTACCAATTCTTCAATAGATGGAATCTGCCAGAATATTTTTTTCTTTTTAAATGAAATTCCATTTTAAACAAATTAACAATACTATCCACAGAAAAATTTCTTTCTTAGTACAAACAAAAGTTTTTCTTTGAATTTTCTCAAAAAGGTAAAAATTTTATAAACTAAGTCTTTAATACATGTTTGCCTTGCACTGTTTAAAAGGACATCAGTATGGAATAAAGGGAGAGATTAATTTGGCTTTAGTAATCTATTGAACATTAACTAAATGACAAATTTCCATCTTTGTTCTCTTAAAGTCAAACTTCACCCACAAAAGAAAAGAAAAAAAAAAAGCAATCAAGCAACTGATTTTGTAGTTGTGGAAAAAAATTATAAATAGCATTTACTTTTTACACAATGTTGGAAACTGTTTTATCACTTTCAAAACTTAAGACTTTTTACTTTACTGGTGTTAAACATCGGGCTACTTTGCAGATTTTGCTAATTTTAAAGTTTATAGTTTTTCTTAAAGATTATCTGACAATGTTAGTTGCAACATCTACTGTGCATAAAATAATTTCACTGTCTATTGCAATGCTTATCTCTTGTACAAAATGAATCATAAATTTTAATTATTTTTCCAAATAAAAACAGTTTAAAATTTAAAATAAACAGAATGATGACAAATTAAAAAACAATACAGAAATGGCAATAAAATATGAGAGTAAAAATTATTTTAAATCAATAGTTAAAGAAATGAGAAAAATTAAAACTTCCTACCTGCCAGCCTAACAACCAATTTGAGCCTATCTGAAAAGGAATGTAAATGGCAAAACAGGAAAAAACAATTAGTGATTAAACATTTAAGCTGTTTGGGCTAATGGTATCAGAATTTGATAAAACCAAAATATATGCATTTTCTAATTTTTACTATAATTTTTTAATGAAAATGATAATAATTTGCACTACAAATCATTAACAGAATCTTTTGATTATTGTGACTAAGCTTATTCATAATGTTCAAGTGCATTTAAAACAAAGAAAATAGTGAATTTGAGATCATCAAAAATATGTAAATACGTAAATCGAGTATTAAAAATTACATTCAAACTATTTTACTCTAATTAATAAATTATGATAGTATTTTGTTAAATGCAGTTGGAATTCCAAATAAAAAAAATCTCTAGACATATCATATACATACATTCACTGACAACTGTAAAATTGATATTAGCTTTTATAAAATTTTCAGATTTCTGAATTAAAGTGTAATTATTAATAATGTAACCCAAATCCTATAGTTTCAGTTTGGCTTCATATAATATGAAGAGGGGAAAAGGATGAAAAATTATGTAAAAATTTTGAAGAAAAACTAACATTTTTATATTACAAAAATTGTATTTACCTTCAACTGATGTGTATTAAAAAATTTTAGAGCACTAGTTCCTCGAGTACTGCCAGTGCCTGCACCTGGAAGATCATGAACCTTAACAGCAAACTGTTCCAACTGACTGATACATGCATTTAATTTAGCCACTAGCATTGACAGAGGAGTCGTATCTAAATGTTCTGGTTCACAAGTGGATAATTTAAATAACTAATAAAAAAATTAAAAGTATTAATATTTATTTAATACAATTACATAACTCATGACTTTTAACTTAACTTACTGGACTTCCCATAAATACATGCAGAAAAATCCTAAGTCTATCATCTTTTACACTGCTACCAAATCCACTGCCATTAGCTGTAGTCAAAAAATGTAACAATTTCTTCACTAGTCCACTGTGTATAACTTCAAATGATGATATGTCACTTTCAACCACTACAGCTCTGATTTCTTCTAATGCTTTCAATCCACCATCAGTCTATGAAGTAAAAAATGTTATTTTATATAAATTTTGTAGTTGTGTGTAAGAAGAAAAGAGTAAAAATGTAACTGCATTTTTAAAAATGATTTTAAGTTACAATATATGCAGAAATGTCAAAGTATAAAAAAAAACAAAAAAATTTATTTCTATTATTCTATTAGCTTCAATTTTAGAATATTTTAGGCCATTTCACTTTGAACAAAATTTTTAAAGTAACATAATGTCAATAAAATAGAATAAACTTTTAAACATTTACCATAGTTTCTAGCTGGCCAAGTGCTGTAGTTAATCTATTAAGTACATTCATAGCAGGATGGGCATTTCCTTGATGTTCAATATTGAAATAATTATCTTCAAATTTTTGAGCTGTGAAAAAATAAAGTATTAAAAATTTTATATTAATTAAAAATTCTTTAATATGAATTGTATTTATTTAACTTATAACATAGTTATAAATTAATTTTCTTTAAATTAGAAGTTTCTAAAAATGACATACCCTGTTCTCTAATCCAATTCCTAATTTTTTCTTTATTGCCAGATGAACTACTACAACTTGGAGTTTTCTGAAGTATTGTCGAATCTTGTGAAGGAGATCTTCCAGATACAGGAGAATTACTACCCCATCTTCCCCAACGTGCAGGATTTAAATTTGCAAGTAATGATGTAGTTTTAGCTGCAGTTGTACTGAATTTCCCACGACTGGAATTATTTGGAACTGAACAACTGCTTGGGACAGAATTTAAAACTGGACTTGTAGTTCCAATAGTGTGGCAGGTACTTGGAGAAGAAGCTGAGAGTGCCAACACAGAAGTTCCCAAAACTGGGTTAATATGATTATCCAATAAACCCCTGGCAGATCCTCTTATGCCTATTGTACAACCAAACGAATCTCTCCCACCTTCTTCAGTTCTTACTTTTCGGCTAGTTGCATTACCTCTTTTGGGCGTTCTTTTTCGTTTTAAAACATCACTTAATCTCCTATTAAAATTAGCAAAATTTTTTAAAAAAATTTAACATTGTTTAGTACATCAATTTAAAAGAACTTACATTTGTCCTACTATTGAGCTGTGATCATCATCACCAGATGATGATGCTGCAGTTGTATTTCCAACAATGTTGTTCCCAGAAGCAGAAGTAACAGAAGTAGATGATCCCCACAATGCTGTTCCCGCAAAATGAATTGAATTATCACTAACTAAGTCACTATTAGAAAGAAGCAAAGAATTTGTATTCAAGGAGCGTTTACTATCACATGGAGAAATGTTGGTTGAAAGAAGAGTTGGCAGTGAAGAAAAACTTGGAGGAGAATTGTCAACCACACTAACTTCTTTTAATGATGTGTCTGTTGAATCAAGTCTTGCTAACCATTTTATTTGATGCATTACTCCTGTATATTTTTAAATTTTAATATCACTTATTTAAGAAACCAAATATTTAAAGAAAACGTTACTTACCTTCTCTTCGAAAATAAATACCAAAAATATCTGGAAGTTTTTGCATCAAAATGTCAGCCATTTGTAGTGCTGCCACTACAACACGCAAATCTTGAGATGAAAGCATTGCTGCTACATGACTAAAATTAAATAATTTTGTCTTAAAATGAGTAAATAAGTGAAAATCTTTAAACATAAGTTATTTACAATTTACTGTAAATAATTTGTAATTTATAAGTTAACAAATAATTTATAAGTTAAATACAGCAATAGAGATTGATTTAATCATCAATCTTAACTAGTTTAATTAATAATTAACATAATGTATAAGAATGCTATTGTATATTTTAAGGAAGCAATACCTAAATAAAAATTTACAATTTATTTTCATGTCAGTCATAATAAATATTGAAATTTTGACAAATTAAACAAACAACTATAGTACAGTGGAACCTCGGTATACGACCTTAATCCGTTCCTGATTGTTGGACTTATACCGAATAGGACATATACTGAATCAATCTTTCCCATAAGAAGTAATGTAAAAATGATTAATTCGTTCTCATGTAAAAAAAAAAATGGCTGGCTTTAAACACCTCGCTTTCCTGGCTAGTTCCTGCTTGATTTTTCATGAGATCAGCATGTATTTTTGTAGCTTTCTCGCAAATAATTGCTTCTGATACGGTGTCTCTAGCACACTGTTTTTCAGTTATCCAAAGCAAAAGCAATTTCTCAACATGATTTAATGTCTTCGATCTCTGTTTAGAAATTGATTTAACCCCTTTCGCAACGTTAGCAGATTTAATAATGTCTTTATTTTTCACGATTGTCAATATCGTCGTTCTCAAAATAAGGTATGCAACAGTTAAATCTCAAACACGCATGCCACCTTCATATTTCTCAACAATTTCTTTTTTCAGTTCCATTGTAATTCTAGTAATTTTTTTTAGTTTTCTGTTACTTTTCATTTGCCTTCTTGCAATTCATAATAAAATTTTACTTACAAATTAAAATGAGAAGAAATCTAACAAAGTTATAAACTGTGGCACCGCGAATGTCTAGTCTGGTCTAGTACACCGACAGTTGTTCATAGATGGCGCGTATAATTAAGTCGTATACCGAACAAAATTTGTTTTGTCCAAACAGGACATATTCCGAATTTGACGTATTCTAAAGCAGACGTAGACCGAGGTTCCACTGTATAATGTAAATTTGTGAAAAATAAAATAATTTATTTTAACATGAAAAAAATATAGCAATATATATCATCTATATCAAACTTAACATTAACCTGTCCTACATTGTTCCTGAAAACACATGTTGACCTCGACCTGCTTGCAATCCCAAATATTTTCATGTTTACATTGGAACATTTTTGATACTAGATGTTGCTATACGCCACAATTTTTATATTAACACAAACTTTTAGAATATAATTTTTTTTGGTTCTATATTATTCAATATATTTTCATGTTTACATTGGAACATTTTTGATACTAGATGTTGCTATACGCCACAATTTTTATATTAACACAAACTTTTAGTATATAATTTTTTTTGGTTCTATATCTGTAAAATGCCTTTAAAACTATTGGGCTGGGCCTCAAAAATGTTTCAAACTGCACTGTACTAACGCAATGATACCGAGAAGGAGGATACCGCACCTCCTGTCAAGGTCCTGTCAATTACGTGTCTGCGTGCGTAGAAGCATGTCGCGACGTGAATCTCCCCATCCAATTCTTACACGATGACACACATTTCGTGTGTTTTCCGTGAGCAGTTCTGTTCGAACAGTTGGAGTAGGAAACTGNAGCAGATTTAATAATGTCTTTATTTTTCACGATTGTCAATATCGTCGTTCTCAAAATAAGGTATGCAACAGTTAAATCTCAAACACGCATGCCACCTTCATATTTCTCAACAATTTCTTTTTTCAGTTCCATTGTAATTCTAGTAATTTTTTTTAGTTTTCTGTTACTTTTCATTTGCCTTCTTGCAATTCATAATAAAATTTTACTTACAAATTAAAATGAGAAGAAATCTAACAAAGTTATAAACTGTGGCACCGCGAATGTCTAGTCTGGTCTAGTACACCGACAGTTGTTCATAGATGGCGCGTATAATTAAGTCGTATACCGAACAAAATTTGTTTTGTCCAAACAGGACATATTCCGAATTTGACGTATTCTAAAGCAGACGTAGACCGAGGTTCCACTGTATAATGTAAATTTGTGAAAAATAAAATAATTTATTTTAACATGAAAAAAATATAGCAATATATATCATCTATATCAAACTTAACATTAACCTGTCCTACATTGTTCCTGAAAACACATGTTGACCTCGACCTGCTTGCAATCCCAAATATTTTCATGTTTACATTGGAACATTTTTGATACTAGATGTTGCTATACGCCACAATTTTTATATTAACACAAACTTTTAGAATATAATTTTTTTTGGTTCTATATTATTCAATATATTTATTTTGTTTGTGAAACATAAAAAAATAATATTTTACAATACAGTAAACACGATTATTATTAAAAAAAAATTTAGGCTTAACATCAACGAAAATTCAACATGGCATCACAGGCAACAAATAAAAATTTCATCATCAAATATGTTAAAACTGCATTTTACATACATTTTATATAAATTCAATAAACCAATCAAACAGTTTTGTCAGTTTATTGAAAGCTAATATAATAATCTTATTACTTCATTTAATATAAAACAGAAATCATTTAGTGTAGATCAAAATTGACATCCAAGGAGTCTTAATTATGCAAGTAAATTTGTGAGTCAAAGTATTGTAATTTTGCATGTGCAGCATATTGATCATGTAAGATTCTCAACTTCTGAATTTGTAGATAAAAATGAAAATTGGACAAACTGCAAAATAAATGCATATATTGCTAAGAACAAATTAAAAGAAAACTATTAATACTTTTTAATAAGAAATTAATTAATTAAGCATCAGTTACATTGGGTACTCTTTGCAATCAGTGATGAATGAGTTCTATCAAAGAGCAAAAGTAGATCAGACCAAGCCCACATTATATAGTATCAACTGATATTTGAAAACATTTTGCAACTTTTAAAACATTGCCTTAGGCAAAATTATAAATGCAAGATAATTCCTAATAATGTAATATCAATAGAATATATTTTCATAATATTTTAATTTTTTTGAACCCTTCACAATTATCCTTTATAACCTGAGAGCAGGAGTTCATGAAGTAATCAAAAAAAGAAAAAAGTGCAAAAAATAAATTATTGTCACTTAAATGGTACCATTTATCATCTTCCAATTTTCATTTTAATACTTTTCATTATATAACAAAATAGTTAATTTTTTTATTACATTTTTTTCCAGTTTATTAATATAAAATTCAAGAAATTTATATTTTTGTAACAGTTATTCTTAATTATTATTCATTAATAAATCATATAACTGTTTTTCCCCCACCTTGGGAAGTCAATAGTTGTTACAGTTGTAGCTTAATAACAGGATTAATTATGTTATATAATAAAACATCTTGTTTTAAATCTTAATAATTTAGCAATTCTAAGATGATTTTTCTTCCTAAATTAATAATTTTAACTAACTAAATTTTCATTCTGCAAAATGTGAGATAATCTTTAATAAATAACATGTCCTATAAATGTGGAGGAACAACTTGTTACATGTTGCTGTTACAACAACTTTAATATTAAAGTAATAATATCAACTGATAACCCTGAATTAATAGAAAAAGTTTTTAATATGCCAAAATATATTAGATCACTTAGAAATAATTGAAATGAAATAGATGTCATATTAAATATATGTATAAAGTCAAAGTTAAAATTATAATAGAAACAAAAACTAGTTTTTATTGGAAATTTTTTGCAATCAATTCTGACTTGCAACAATAAAAACACTCAAGTTGAATAACATTTAGGTACCAAATGCAAGTAAGCGTGAGCCCTACATTCTGGATTCTTCTGGTATTACATGCTAAGAAATGTTGAAAATTCATTATGTCCCTTTATGTGCCAAGTGTGTGCATGATTGTTCAATTAAATGGAATGTTGTCAAATAATTTGTTTATGAAAGATATGGAAATGTCAGTGACAAAACTGCATATTACTATCTGAGACACAATTTTAAACAATTTTGAGGATAATTCTTTTATGATTCTTGATCTGTTGCTTTCACTCCCTGCACAAAATCATGATTGTGAATCAATCATAAAATTGAACAACAACTAGGAGTCTTAGAAAACTTGTAAAAAATTAAATTCAAATTTTTAAAATTTTGAATTGCATGTTAACAGAAAAATTAAACAGAATTCCAATGCAACAAGCTGTTTGGTTCTACCTACTTCTGTTTTCAATTATTTTTGAAAAAGGATTTTCTCACAGAAAAAACATTTTTAATGCCATCTGCTGAGATTGTGTGTGTGACAATGCCGAAGGGTCCCCCTAGGCTTCGGCATTACAGGACTGAAGGGTTGACATTGCGTCGGCGAAGACTGCAACGACAAATTTATCAGACTGACACCACTGTCTTCTGAGTAGAACAGAGACTGTTACGTTCACCTTTAGGCGCAAGCAGTAGCGTCTGTGCGCAGTTGGACTCGGGATGAGACCGCTTGAGGAAGTGCACCCAACACAATTCTAACAATAACAACCTTTGTTTATTAAACTAGTTCTACAAAATGGTATTTACCTTAAAGCTTCTTTGTGAAAACCGAATTGGGGAGAGAGAGCTTACATAACATCGCGGGTCATTATAAATACCTGAAGCACTATGTACGGATTTCCAGATGTCTGTGGAGTCGTTGGGGAGCCTTGGATGGCAGTTAAAGTCTATCAAAAGTTGAGATCCGTTAGTTCTTTGTAGGTGTTCCTGGAGAAACACTGGATATTCAGGAGGAGTGCGCGGTGACGAGCGATGATGATAAATCCTTTCGGCAGGCACACAGGGAATATTCTCGCGGACTCTCAATCCCTCTTACTGTTTCTTAGGTCTCCTCTCTATTGCCAAGTCACGTTGTTTTCCACCAATAGTGAATTTTTTGTAGTAGTTCCCAATGACACATTATGACTTCCCTGGGAAAGGAAATGACTCCCAGAAGAGAAATGCACTCATCCTCCGGTAATAAAATGGAAAAAGTTTTTTTTTCTGATTTTTAAATAAATTTCCTTTTCAAAATGAAAAATGAATTTTCTTTCGAAAAATTCCCGAATAAAATTGTGGGTTTTTCCCCTTTCCAAGTCTGATCTCTCACGTGCATAACCAGAAGTTACAATCAGCCTTAATAGAAAATCAAAGCTGAAGAAAACAAAATGGTTTATGCAATAATGACTATACAACAGTATCAGAATATATAAATTTAAGTACCATTTTCTTTTTTTAAAGATGTTTATTAACATCATTCTTTCAAATTACAAAAATTTGTTCATACTATTAATCTTTTAACTAATATCTGTAATATATAAGTATATATTAAATGTAAAATTTCAGATTATAAAAATACACAGGATATCACAAAAGTGAAGTTAGACCACAGAAAGGCAATCATAGATGGTCCTTTTAGTATTTCAATTATTATTTTCAAGTATGCAGAGTTATTTATTTCAATTCATCTTTTTATTTGCACTGAACTATAACTTTGTTGTGTGTGTATTATTCTTTTTTTTAAACTTATATTTGTCTTTATTTACAATTAATCATTAATAATTTATAACTAAAAATAAAGTTTCTTATATGGGGGGAAAAAAATGTTATTCAATAAAATGTAAACATAAAAGACATCAAAACATGTATTTTAATTTTATAAAGCATCACACACTATTTTCAGATTTGCTACTATACTGGAAATAGATTATCAGGAAAAACATACCTTGAAACAGCATGATTTTTCAGAACATTTTTTAATAATTCTGGAGGAGCATAATATACCATTCTAAGTAATGCTCTAAGACATTTGTGCCTTACTGCTGGACCAGCCTAATAAAATTAATATTAATAATTTAATATTTTAAACTTATCAAAATAAATGAAAAATTTTTCTTTAACTCATACTTTAATACATATCATTAATAAAACTTACATTAGTAATAAAAAAAAATAAAAAAATAAATATACACACATACACTCACACTTTGGTTTTACTACATAATTTTTAAAATTTATGCTTATTTTTTCAAATATTTTTATTCCCACATTTAGTCATAATAAATAATTTAGAATTTTTAATACGAGTTAGATTTTAATTAATCTATTAGAAATATGAATGGAGATATAAACTTACTGAACTGCTATAAACTTCATACAACACTGCAAATAATGATTTAATACAAGAAGCAGCTAAATTAGTATTTCCTTGTAAACAATCCACACGGGAATCAGTAGCAGCAACACTGAGAGAAGAACCTAGACAAATTTGATTATTAAACATTTGGTTTTTGAAAGAAGTATGTAGTAGTGATTATCAGCACACAAACACTTAAGAGCAAACCTGATGATGTACTTGAGCAATTATTCACTCGACGCTGAACAGGTCGAGTAGTACCCGTATCTTCGTTGATTTGTTGCATGGAATTGAAGTCAATAGTGTATGTTCGCCCCATAGTTGATAAGCTGATTTCATCTTCTCCAGTTTGATGAGCAGCCTGTAATAATTTAAGTTAAAAAGAGTTTAAATTACATTTATTTAAACTTGTTAAATAGTAAAAAAGTTAACTTTAAAGAGATACTTCATTTATATAGAAAGTGACTAAGGAAATACTTTATTGTCTTAACCCTCTCCCCGCGGGGAGAAATAATGAAAAATCCCTCCTTAGTGTACATCCTCATGACGTACCTTAACTGCGTACCAAATTTCAACTTTCAACTCCTAACCATTTGGGCTCTGCACTTATTATCATCAATTATATCACAAGATATGAAACATTGTGATTCCAGTGCCTTGTATGCCTAAAGATTTTCTTTTAAAATATTTCATTACATTCAGAATTTACTACTGCTTGAAGTTTTTTAATAACAAAAACAAAGATGGAAAATAAAGAAAAAATTTTTTAATGTATTTAATATAAATGAATTGTTATAATGAAACTTTTGTATAAATAAAATGTGTGTATATGTTTATATTTATAAACTATCAAGATAAAAAGGATTCTTCAATTAAAATAAGCTGGAAACTGATGGTAAACAAAAAATTACTTTAAAATTACTATGAATTGCTAAAAAAATTTTTAAATGCAGTTAATATGCAAAGTATTAATGATATTAAAATATAAAGCCAATATAGCAGTGAAACAATTTATAAATAATAAAGTTCTATAGCAAAGTGTAAACCTATATATATTTATGTGATATAAACTTAGGTTACCTGACACTTTTTGAAAGTAAATGATGATAATAAAAATATTAAAAAAGAAAAGAAAGGGAAAAGAATACACAAGAAAATAAAGTTGTCATAGATAACTATAAAATAAAATAACTTAAAAATTAAAATTCAAACCAAATCATATTGGTTTAGCTGTAATGAACAGATCAATATAATTTCAAATTAGAAGAAATTTTTAAGAATTTTGAAATTAATTTTAGAAGAACTGTCAAATATAGAAAAATTTTTATTATTTAGAGTGAAAAATATTCCATTGCTTAGCACCACCCAAATATTAGTTATTATAAGAAAATATTTGGATATTTTCTTCCAATCACTAAATATATTATATCTTACTTTTCTTTGTTTATAAAAAAATTTCTGCACAAACATTTTTGCATAAAAACATTACTGATAAATACTTACTTCAATAATTTTGTTGTCAATACTTGTATATGGATGCCAAAGACCTCTGTCATCTCTCCATTGCCACATAACCGCATCTAGATGATTATTGCTGGGTTTCATTAAAAGTGAATCAACACTAAATACACCATCAGATGGAAGGCGAGGCATCAATTCACTAAAATATTTAAAATATGAATCGTTAATTACAGTAAATATCACATGTTAATAAAATTGTATGTTGATGTGTTCAAGGCAAAATGATGCAAGCAATATTTTATCCATATTTAAGTTATTGCTCTACCCAGACAGCATATTTACCTTTAAGAATGATTATGGCAACTTCAAGAAAATTGACATCACAGAATTTTAACACAATTTTCTTAAGTGTCACTACATAATATACAATATAGTTAAAACTTATAACAATCTTCAGATATGTACTGGCTAGTTTACATAGCATATGATATGGTATTTCATTGTTTCACTGAAGAAAATGAGTATATTTAATAGAGGTAAGTGATCTAATTCAACAATAGTATAATATACAAATTTTTTCATTATTTTGTTGCTAGAGTACACATAAATTATTTTGTTATTTGAGTACACATAAATTATTTTGTTGCTGGAAAAGTACACATAAATTACCTTATGTGTACTTTTCCAGCAAATTTGCTGGAAAAGTACACATAAGGTAATTTATTTCTAGTTACTGTCTAATTCCAGCTTATGTCAGTGTTGATTATTTTGTTGCATGAATGTCAACTGTAACTTAAAATGTCAAAGTTATGTCACTTATATCAAAACACAATTATGAAAATTAGATTTGGCATAAGTACCATTCCATTACTATTGTAAACTTCCATATCTCTTTCCAGAAATTCAGCTGTTAAGACAATAATATGTTAATGAACTCATATTGTTTAAAAAAATCATCTATAATTATCATCATCTTTTTTTCAGTGTTTACAAATTATCACTTATGCAAAGGCATCAAATGAAAAAAAATTTAAATCTGCAAAAGAACAGCTTATACCAATCAGATCATCATGACTTATTTTCATCCCATACAAAACAATTATGAAGAAACTGTTCAATACTGCAACTACAAATTACTTCTTTTAGGAACTCTTAATGATTTCATTTTTTCACAATATTCTCATCAGGACAACACTGACTCAAAATTTTTTAAATCCATCCCTTAACTTTGAAGTGAAGATGCTTCAGGCTTTGCAATTGCTTTAGGTTTATAGAGCCTAAAGCAATTGCATAATGGCAGCCCAATGTCTGGCCTACTCTGTGAGTTGGTTGTAAGAGAAATGGAATGCATCACATTTATCAACTTTAATAAGGACATAATCTTATACAAAAGATATGATGATGATGTGTTTATCATATGGAAGAACGACAAAAATACACCAATTCTTGAAGCGAATGAATTCCAACCAACATGATTTAAAACTGAACCTAGAACAGATTAGTAACAATGAATTACACTTTTTGGACATTGACATTGCATTTCAGAATGGATCACTGTACACAAAAGTGTATATCAAACCTAAGCATGACCTGATATATATATACTATTGACATCTAATGATCCTATTGCATATAAACTCTCAGCCTTTAGGGCCCTAATCAGAAGAGTATTTCAGTATTGCTCTAACATGACGGAAAGCATGTGAAGTGGTGAAACGACCTCAAAACGGCAGTGCTTCCCCCTCCACAGCACGCGATGCATCACAGTCCCCACTCAACGTAATGAATTCTTTGAGCCTTTAACTATCGAGTGGTGTAATTAAATTTTGGATGTAGACAATAGATATGTAGCTGCAATGCCAAACTGTATCCTCCAATTTTGTCGTCATCAGTTTTCTGAATTGCCTCCCACTATGGAAGCAAATTTAAAGACATATTCACATCAAAAACAGTCTATGGCCAGATTGTTTTTTCTATTCATTTCACACTATATTTCACAATTCTCTACATTATGAGCTGAAACTTACAAAGGAAAAGTTCTTGCAATGGTGATTATGTAATGATCACTTCTTACATTTCCCCCCTCTCAGTTCAAGTTGTAAACATCTCTCAGCCCAAAGTAGCTTAGAATGTAATGATCCTTTTTGTGTATGCCTACATCCAGCAATTTAATGTAATTGAACATTCAGTAGAAACTTCTTTTCACGTATTTATTCCACATCCTTTAATGCAGTTTCTACTGTATGAGAGAGAGAGAGAAAGAGAGAAATTTCTTTCAGAAAGCAAACTATTCATTTGCATCAACACCATATTTTTAGAAAATAAACATTGTGCATGGTTCCCACATTTTATAGAAAGTTTGATTAGTTTATTCAATAGATAAACATTTAATTTTTTATTAAATAAAATTATTAAACAAATTCCACAGTTTATGAAAATATTGTATCAAACCTTCCCATTCAAATTAAACAGTTTGATGAATTCAAGTTAAACACACAAATCCCTATGCTGACGGCTGAGCAGTCAAGGTGGCAGCCTACTGCTCTGGGGACCTGGGATCTAATCTGGACAGGTCAAGGAATCCCCAGGAATTTTTTGGGGGGTGGTCCATTGAAATATGTCGGGCCCTGTCCCTCACCACCTGGTTGCACCATTGTGGCCTGGCCGAACCCATAGTGGGCCTGCTATAAGAGGCCCTCTTAGTGCCCACAGGGCAGAAAGAGTATTAAAAAAAAAAATCCCTATTCTAATGACTGGGAATAAATGCAACTTTAAGTTATGATGGTACAAGTTAATATGGTTCCACTGTAATAATTAATAACAATTAATAAGTCTTAAATATTACAAGCAGGACCTTTATATGTCAGTCAAAATTAGAATTTCACTAATTGTATTCTGATTTACTTAGGTTGTCAGTTATTAGCATAATGAGGCCCAAAGCAATTAAAATAGACTACCACATTCTAAACAGTTCATTTTAAATGAAAATGACTTACCCAATAAGAGAAGTAATTTCAAATAATTCTTGTGGACTTCTTGGAGTAAGCTAAAATAAACAATGTGTGTTTTAGTAAAGGTTTCAAAAATATGAAGCATTTCAAATCAAAATATATTTCAGAATTCAAGAAACTGAATCCAGATTAATCATAAATAAAAAAGAAAATATCAAAAAATTTAAATATAAACTCAAAGAAAATTAAAAGTAATTTTTAAAATTTTGAAAAAACTAATTTAAATATGCTGCAAAATCTTGTCAACTCTATTTAAGATAGGGATTACAAGGTTGTTTTGAAAAATGGTGATTTCATTTGCTATTAAATGCTACTGGCCTTATATTTTTGCAATACAATTATTTTTGAATAAAAAAACTTATCTTTTCATTTTTGATTGTAAATATAATAGATAATTCTTTTACACCTACATTTATTTTTGTTCCCACTTTTTTCTTTAAATGTAATAAAAATTTATTATTACAAAAAATTGAGGCAGCTTTATATTTATGCAATGCATACAATGCAACTTATATATATTTGAAAAGATAAATTTATTAAAATTCTATTTTAGGCTTTCATAATACAATTCAACAAATACTATATTATTATTACTTAAAAATACAGTTTAACCTGCTTATAACGTCATCCATGGGACCGGCAATTTTTTGACGTTATAACCGAGTGTCGTTATCTGCGGGGTCATAATTTCAGTCCCATAAAAGTATCAAGTCTGTTTAAGAATCTATTATAAAATTCATCTAATTTAATATCGTATGTATAAAAGTGCAAACTAAATATTTAAATCAACTTTATTTACATTATTATGTCTAAATTTACAACGATGTAATTAAAAATTTCAAAAATTATTTTTTATAAAAAATTTTTATTTGTCAAGTTTCGATAATAGCGGCACTTTCGGTTTTGAGAATAATGTCGAATCAAAAGGCAACAAAAAGTTAAATTAAGCAAGAAATGAGAAAATTATCATCCAGGTGTTATTAACGCCTGGATGATAATTTTCTCGTTTCTTGCTTATCTATCAATAGACATGAAGTCCAATATCTTTCACTTTTAGGTTAAATTAATGTATATCAATTAAAAAGAAACAATAAAAATATTCACTTAAAAAAAGTCAGTTATTTTAGATTGTAGGCATTTTTCACCTAAAAATTGTTTATCAATGTCATTTTCTAAGTCGTAGATTTTGTTCATTATTTCCGATGAAGTTTTACGAGACCTGTAGAATTTGCTAAACCAAAGTCTCTGCATACATCTGCCTTTTTTCTTCCACTTTCAACTGCTTTAATTATTTCTACTTTGCAATCTAATGTTAACGCTTTCCTTTTTAAGCTAGCCATTTTACCTGATTTGATGCTAAACTACAACACGAGTATGAGAGCTATGCAGACTAACCCACTGTCACGTCGTTTAAAGGGGTGGCGCATCTCACCCCAATGAATCAGGTGGTGACAGTACCACCCACAATCGTTCTAGGAAGCGGACTCTGACCCTAGGACTGAACACGTAGTATTTTCTTTGATAAATAAAATTTATAATGTAATTTTGTAAATTTAAAAGTGCTTCAAATATGACGTTAAAACAGGGTTTTATGTCGTTATAAGTGGGTTTTTTAACATTATCTAGTATAGTAAAATCATGGGACCGATAAAAATTTGACGTTATATTAGGGTTGTCGTTACATCCGATGTCGTTATAATCGGGTTAAACTGTATTAGATTCTATATGTTGTTTTCAAATATATAATACCATCATTTAACAAAGTCATATAAGAGATTTTAAACTACTGTAAAATTAAATGTTATGGGAAATCTAAAGCTAAACAATTACAAAGATTTATGTTTAAAATTTCCTTATCTTGGGTCTACAAGGTATGACAAAGTGGACTGAACATTCCCATATCTGATATGTAAAATGCACGCAGTAAGTTTGCTATGATCTATGTAACCTAAGAGTAGATTGCTATGTCTAAAAATACATCCTAACATGATGTGTTCCTGCTCTTAACAAATGCACAAGCATAGACAGGTTACAGATAAGGATATGTCAGTGAATAAAAATGAAGCAAAGAGCTAATGCCAAATTCTGTTAAAAACTGGTTAAAATGAAAAATGCACAGAATGTTGTATTACAGAAATGATGCAGTAAAGCAGAAGTGCATGTATGATACTTTCATAGTAGAAGCATTCAAACCAGAAATCAGAGGATGAGCCCTCAAGGTGAATACTGTAGCTCTTGACAGCTAAACACCCCAATGCCCAATGTGTGTGACAGCTGATAATAAATGATCATTTACTGACTATTAAGTTACTTTTAAAAACTGCACCATTAACTAAGAAATGCTTTAAATCATCCTGTACAAAGACTTGTGGAATCAATACTACATATTGATTCCATAAAAGACGAAGAGCAAGAAATTAGTTTCTGCTTCATAGCAATGCCCTGCCCATTCTGTAGTTATTGTACATAAATGCTTGAGTTAGTTTTATGTTGTCATTTTGGACCACTCTTTCCCTATTCTTACTCCTGCAGATTTTAAAAATTAGGAAAGGGTGGTCCAAAATGACAACACAAAACTAACTCAAGCATTTATGTATAACAACTACAGAATGGGCAGTACATTGCTATGAAGCAGAAACTAATTTGTTGCACTTCATTTTTTATGGAATCAATACATAGCATTGATTCCATAAGTCTTTGTGCAGGATGATATAAAGTATTTCTTAGTTAAGGTGCAGTTTTTAAAATTACTGCTGATTTTTATCCACTATAATGGAGGAGAGATTAAAAAGGACTTGATTTGCAGACTTGGGCATTGAGAGAACTATGTCAAAACTCTTAAGGCAATTTCCAAAGATTACTTTTCAGAGTTTCTGCAAGCTACATATTTGTAAGAGGATCAGAAGTGCGTTCTCTCTGGAGGAGACTATTTTGAAAAACAATAAAAGTCATTTGTATGTTAGTTAATTTTGTAACATTCACCAAACTTTGTCATCATCCTTCTTATTTTAACATTATTAATATTTAAATTTGTTTTAAATCAAGATAAACAGGGATGTTTGACTGACAATTAGCAAATTTATAGGAAAGAAAATTCTCAAATACCTTATTGCTTAGAGAAAAGTATCAATAAAAAAACCTTAGTGTCACTATATCTTGACAATGTTCAAAAAATTGAGAAACCTAGTAGAACCTACTAGAAGTTCAAAATTATAATTTTATAAAAACTGGCTATTTTTTTGCCTATTGGAGAAATAAAACTAGTAGAATGGAACCACAATGCAAGCAATCTCATTAGAATCCTAGAACACCTTTTGTATATTGTGTATAAATATAAATCTAAAATTTATACATTTAAAATGCATATAACAATTCTCACAAATTATTATTTTTTTTTAGAATAGACATGCATAAATACATTTAAAAAATCTCAAAACTTATATATAACATTTGATATATTTGAAATTGTATAAATCAGATCTAAAGTGAAAAAATTACTGCAAATACACAATAGTTATGTAAAATGATATTTTCAACATAAAACAGTACATACAAGATACTAGTTTCAGTTAAAAAAAAAATAGTTTTTGATACACTATTATTTTATATACAGTGGAATCTGTTTATTATGATCATTTTGGGACTTTCAACTTTTGATAATAACTGGCTGATAACATAAAACAGAAAATAAATTTTCATTATTGAACTCAATTTATTATGAATAATTGTAATATGAATGTATACAATTTATATGTATCATAAACTGTACAGCATTACACATTTATATATGCTACATTTGTCATAAGTAACAGTCTGTAATTCAACAGATCACAATATTAAATTACAGAAATTGCAACAGGAATGTTCATCCCCAAAGATATGCTTCAAGATCTGTAGTATACATTTTTTAAGAATTCTTGTCATGCATGCCCTTTACAGTATGTAAAAAGACAAAAGATATGCTTCAGTTAAAAGTATTTTCAAAGATCCATTTAGTACAACTTTGCTAAGAATTCTTATCACTTGTTCAAGTGTATTATCACAATTGATAACAATAGCCAGGCTTGATTATAATAGGTAGATTTTTTTTTAACTTATATAATATGTTTCAGGATTTACTGATTACAATAGCAATAGCCAATTGACAACACTGATATCAATTGGCTATTATTATTCATCCAATAACTGATTCCACTGTATTACAAAATTTATTTAAAGAAAAAATTTAATGCTTACAAATAAGAATTTTACTTTTCCAAAAAATTTTATGCAGTTACCTCAATATCATCTGATGAAGGTCCAGAACTTCCCATTAATAAATATCTTAAAGTTTCTGCTATATCTGTAAAATTTACAAAAATAAATATTATGAACTATTAGAATTTATTATATTGAATATTAAAAAAATACTTTATTTGACAAATTAAACTTTATAACTCATGCGTAAATGTTGAGCATTTCTTGCCATATATTGATCTTATAATAAATCTTGCCATATATTGATCAATCTGGTAAACATCATTAAAACCAATGACAAAATATTAGAGAACTATGATCTTTATCAAGACAATATAAATCCAAATGATCCAAATGAATCCAAAATCCAAATGAAATCATTTAAAGTTTAAAGTTTTTGAATTATCATAAACAAAACATACTAAACATAACTGATTAAAGAGGAAATTGTTAAAATAAACAAAAAACCTCACTGTTTTCAATCCATGAGTATTTTATATTGTTAGATAGTAGACAAAATGCAGAAATTGATGATATAATCATTGTTTTTGATGCAGTGCCCATTCTTTTACAATTTTAGAAAAAACAGCAACATCTGTGAGATGTCATGAGAGTAAACTCATTTGGTGATGGAACACAAGCAACAAAAAGATAACAATTATTAAAATATGATATTAAAGAAACAATGAAAAATGCAAGAAGGAAAACTGTTTCAACTCTTCACTCAACTTGCACTTTTCTTTTTCCACAGAGTTAATATGATATAAACCCACATATGTAATATATTAATAAATCAAACAACAAAAATTTTTATTTATCTCATTATTATACTAAGACTAGAATACTGCAAATACCAGCTTCATACAACTAAAATGTATCCCATTGAAACGTACAGTTTTCTTCCATTTATAGTGAAACAAACACTAACTTCTCCTAGGACTTAACTAGTGTAACAAAGGCATTCAATATTAGCATTCTTAAAATAATTTTAAATAAGAAAAAAATAATAAAATAATTATAAATGGATACATAATCATGTAAAATGGAACACTATTTGTTATATTCATTTATAAATAATCCAAATATTTATTTGGAATCTAAATAAATACAATACTTTTATTTTATATCCATCAGTTATTTTTCTATTCCTGTACCACTAATTTGAGAAATTCTTATAAACTGATTAAAACTTTAAAGTTACATATACATATAAATTTGAATATACTTTTTTAAAAATAAAAACACGATGTTTATTAAAATTAATATTTTCATAAATTTTTGTAACTGAATTAACTTACTTTGTTTCAATAGCATTACAGCTAATTCAGGACATGAACCACACATTACAGCCAACATTCTAATTACTGTGACAAAGGTTCCAGAACTTATCAACGGTGGAGTAACTACCAACTAGAATAAAAAAAACTTTATTAATATTATATGTACTCAATTTTAATTAAATGACCAATGGTATTTATTTTTTTAAATTTAAAAATTAGAAGAACTACGTTGTTGTCTTTCCACCATATTCAATCATGATTGGACACAACAGAAAGACAATGACTTTAGTTCTTCAAAATTTTAAATTATATGTACTCTTTCATTAATATCTTAAGTACAAAATAATAATTTATAGTTCTTTTTAAATTATGTACACAATTTCTTCATGCTGAATGATGAACCATTACATAGTTTCATTACAGATTTAGCTGTAAACAAGATGATGTTAATAAAAATGCTTGCATACACACAGAACAATTAATTTATATGAATAGATCACATAACTGATCAAGATGTTTACTTGTATGTATGAAATCAGTCAATTCTTAAATAAAATTTTTTTCACATTAAATCATTTACATGAAAGTCTGAAATTATGTAGTTCATATACTGGTTTTTTAAAATAGAAAATGCATAATTCCATGAACAATGCAATACTGTGCAATACTGCAGTATTTATTTACTCATGCATACATCACGTAAATAAATACAGTATTGGCAGCTGAAATTTGTTTTAATGTATTAGTGTCTACTGTAAAATGGAAAGATGTTAGACAGACAGAGTAAACATTTAAGAATATTCTCTTGAAGTCAATACAGTACTAGTATGTTGAAGTACTAGGACAGGAGTCAAACTTTTTTCAGAGGGCCAGATAACTGAGAAAATGACAAGTGCGGGCCACATAACCATTTTGTTTAATACAATATAATGAATACACAAAAAATAAAGGTAACTAATATATTTATTTACCAATTCACAAACACAATCATTGTAGCAAGTTCATAATTGCTTTTCTTTGAAACTTCTTTGTAAAAAGTTGCTGAATGTTTTATTTCACTGATTTTCCTAAAAATTATATTACTATCAGATGCAAAAATCAAATTGGACCAATTTTGGCATTTTTACTTATTTTAATTTTTCTACACACAGTAAAACCTGTATATGGCAACCACACGTAATGCCTTTCAAAAAGTGGTCTTTTAGACAGGTGGTCATTCAATATAGGTAGTGCTGTAATACTGTATTTCCATATGTATTCTGTGCACTTTTTAGCTATTTCTACAAAGCAAAACTTGAGGTGAGCAAAAATAAGCAAATTTTTTCAACGATAGAGCTATATTGGTATTGTATTTTATTCTTATTGAATAACTTGATTAACAGGAATCGTCATGATTTTATAAGACAGATTTAATACCAATATTTTAAAGATTAATACATTATTCCCATTTTCTCAATTATAATGCACACTTTCTTTTCTCCAACTTAATTAATTCAACTTGGCTCTATTTGCTCTTCATTTACATGTATTACGTCATTGATATATAGAAGTGCAACATATCTCTCCACCACTTTGGTTTTCATTAGTTTAACCTTATTTTAACTTAAAATACTGCATTTTTTAAAAATATGTAATATTTTCTTAAGTACAAGAAGAAAAATTATTAATTAATAATAAAATGATTTTATTATTTCTTATTATTACATCAATGACAATCCTGAAATCGAAAAAGGAAGGTTGCCTGTAGAACTGATTTTTGCATTAATGCGTTTATTGTTTTTTGAATATTTTGCATGTGAAAATTAATTGGATATTTTTTTTAAATATCACGAAAACAAGGTAGGTTAATACAGAAACTGTATCGCACATGTACCGTATATAAACTTTTGTTTCCAACCAAAAATCGATGGTCTGCAGTCATGTTACACAGGTGGTCGTTTAATACAGGTAACTTATACGAAGGCTATGTGTAAATTATTCCATGCTAGAAACTTTTGTCCATTTTGACAGGTGCCTGTCGAATGTAGGTGGTTGCCTAAGCGGTTTTTACTATAGTAAGTTCATCTACAATCTATGATATTTCCATATAAATAATATTTTAGCTCATTTGTGGCATAGTGCAGCAGTGGGCCAGATAAACTGACCTTGCAGACTGGATCTAGCCCACAGGCTGTAGTTTGGTGACCCCTGTACTAGAATAATTAGAGCATTGAGTTGTCAAGGAGTTGAATAGTATTGAAATATACACTTATCCTATCAAAAATGATTGGGCAACTATGGAAGTATCAAAAATATGCAAGAACTTTAATTACAAAAGCCCCAATTTACCAAAGTTCTGCATTATCTAAGGCAAATCTATAAGTGAATATACTACTTTTCTTATACTTTAATAGGTAAAAAAAATTCATATTAGACATCATGCATACACTTCCAGCAAAATAATACTTACTGGAATCACAAAAACAAATACTTTTGGCCTTTTTCAGGGGCTTGTATCAGGTATGGTAATAAGTAAGTCTTATTAGTGTAAAAATGAAATCATTAGATACATTTATGGAAAGTTAAAAAAAAATTGCATAGGAAAATTTTGGTCTCTAACCACAGTAAAAAAAAAAGTAAACAATACTTGTATAATAGAGAGATAAATAATACACAAGTAATTTTTGGTTACTTTCATAGAGACTTTTTCTTACAGCACATACAAGTTTTTGCTGCAAATTATACTTAATTTTTCATGTAAGTGGAATAAAGTTAACTCTAGGTAAATCACAGCCACATATTAAAATCAACATTCCACTAATGTTTATATCCTACAATGTTAAAAATGTTATATCCTACAATGTTATCCTTAGTTTGTAAATTTAAACTTTTCGTGTGTTTTTAATAAAAGTAAATTTTATGAGAAGCATTTTTTTTAATTCCAAGACAAAATAAGCTTTTTCTTCTTTTCAGAATGCTAAGATCATCTCATATTCAAGAACCCTGAAGATTTGCAGGTCATAAATTGTGATATACTGCATAATATTGAAATTATTCAGGTACTTATTAAACAAATTTCTACAGAGCAGTAGTATATGCATAGAAGATGGAAACTCATCTTTGCACTGATTGTGGATGTACTGACTGTCACTTGCACTAGATATGACAAACTCCACTCAATGCTCTTTCTTCCTCCTTTCCAACATTACTAATTAATATTATAACATGCTTTCGTCTGCTTTAAAAAGAAAATGATGATCTCTGTAGTGTAGTGTGCACTTATTATTACAAAATAAAGTTATTATACACAAAAGAAAATACCCTCCACTTCTGTACCATTTGCATAACTTGCTATTTTGGGTCATTATAGCAAATGAAGTGAATGCATTACACATTTCAATCATATATAATATGAAATCATTATTGTGTTTATAATTTCTAGCTACATGCAGCAGAGAATAAAAATCTTCATTTGGCAAAATAAATTCAGTTTGGTGAAAGAATTGGCAAAAATTAAGAAAATTTCAAGAGAAATACTGCTTCATTATAGAAGATATTACTCAAGACTTGAAATTATTAAACTAAAAAAAGTATGAACTACACTTACCAATTGCTGTATATTTGTTAATAAACCATGACTTGCTATTTCCATTAAAATCTTTGGATCATATTGGAAACAATCCACAAGACGTGAAAATGCTAAGCATACACTTTCAACTGATTTTTTATCTTGATGAGTCAAGCGAGCACTAAGTAACTGAAAAGATTCTTGAACAAGAACAAATTCTTCTGGTGTAAGATTTTGACAACAATTTGCAGTAACAGCCAATGCTGCTCGTTGTGCATTTATGGAGAAAAAATCAAGATACATTAAACATGCAGCAACACCTCTCTGAAAAGAGAAAACATTAAATTTTTATACTGTTGATCTAAAATAAGAACATAAAAAATTATCATCTTTTCTACATTACAAAAGAAAATTAAGTTCGGCTTTTACCCTCATTAGGGCTAAAAAAGCCAAAAACATTTGCTTTGCACGTATGTCAACAGCACTGCTAGAAACGAAAAGTCAGTTTATTATTTGTTCTAGAACAGGAAAAAAACTGGGTTTATTTAATCTGGAAGTAACTAAAATTGAACTAAATGTCAATTTTAAAAACATTGAGTTTAATATTTATTTTTATTAACTCTTGACTTATTTGATTTTTGAACTCTCTTTTTGAATCAAAAAGATATGAACGCTATTCCTATATATATATATATATATATATATTATAGGAATATCATTCATATCTTTTTGATACACAGTATATACATCAAAAAGATAAAAAATGTCACACAGCCAATCTGAATCAGAGTTTATCTATCTCTCAGTAATTATATATTTATTAAATACTTTCCTAATTATTGTCATATTTATAGTAGTTATGGATGAAAACAATTCCTATTGCAGATGATAATCACAGAGTATCCAGTTTCATGTCACAATGCACTTCTATTTTATCTTTTGAAATTCACTTTCATTTTCCAATTAAATTTTTATATCAAAATTTTTTCCAAAATATCCATCTTGTACATTAAATGCTATTAATTTAATCCAATGCTACTGATTTAAAATAGCTTGCTGCATTTGCCCAGCTTTGTTCAGGCCTTTGAAGGACTGGAAGATTATTGACATCAAGTGGGAAGAGAAAAACAATAGTCTTTGTAACTAAAATGTACATTTACTGACCTATGTATTTATAATAATGAACTGACAAAAAAAACACAAAAATTGCTCAGACTGAAGTTAACAAGATGGGACCCTGACATGTTCGTCTCAAACTTAATACTGTACCTTTGCCATTCTACTATGCCTGAGCCATTGAACCTTTTAAATTTCTCTTCAGCTGTATCATCTACAGCAGGAATGGGCAACCCACGGCTCTCATTAATACTATTTTGCAGCCCGCCTTGCATAAAATATGAACAAATATATCAATTTCCCAGCATAAGGAAGTATGCAGCAAAAATTCAAATATTATTTTCTACAACTTATGTATGTGAATAGTTATTCCACAATTAATTTAGTACAAATTAAAACAAGAAACCAGCTAACAGACACATTAAACTAATTTAAAACTAGCAGTGACTAATATTTAATCAAATAAATCAGATATATTACATTTACATCAGTTCCAGAAACTAAATTAAGTATACCTATGCTAATTTATAATTATTATATGAATAAATAATTGTGATTTACCAGCATGTTTTTCGACGTGCCGACAGTCGTAGCTAAGGAACACACTGGCCATCTGACTGCCAGCGTTCCAAGCCAAGTGCATAGGCGTCCACGAGAGGCTACCACTAGTATGCAGAAAAATGTCATATGAAGCCAGGATAATTTAACCTTGAGTGAAACTACATTGCTTAATTGACGGCGGGCGGCCGGCACTGTATGGCCATACGACCACCAACGCAACGGATTGCAGTTAACATGTTAATATACAGATTCTTTGTTATATTTATTAAATCCTAAAGCTGGAACTATCTTATAAACACACAAATTTACACCTTCCTCTCAATTTCTAGCATTCACTGTTTAAAAAGCAAACGTTTTCAGCCAGATTCAGAGGCTTGTGTCAAGTTAGACATTCTCTCTATCAAACGTGTATGTCAGGTTCAAAGTTTGGAATAATACAGTTTTTCTTTGATGTAATTCTTTTTGAATTAATATATACTATATTTACATGAATATTAATATAATTTTAAGAAATTAAATGAATAATTACAAACAAAAATATTAAAATGCCTCAAATAATATAAGTGAAGAAAAAAAATTAAAAGTATTTCTCAAAATGTAAATTCATATTATTATGTGTATTATTGGTTGTCACTATTTTTTAAGGGTTAACTAATACAGACTGCCATGCCTTGAATATGAATATAGATTCTTTATTGTTAATGCAGCTTCCTTTAAGTGCTGCAGCAAATATTACAAATGTCTTCATGGGTCTTAGTTTATGGTTACCGAACATACATTTTAAAAACTTTACTTCTGCTCATTTGATTTTACTAATAATAAAAACATTTGTTTTTTAAATTACAAATGCTGGAAATTGAGAGGAAGGTGTAAATTTTCATGTTCTTTATTATATTAACACATACTGATTCCTAAATCTCAATCTAAATATATAAGATTACTTGTCCTGACTGACTATCACCACCCAGAGCAAACTGCTAAACCTAGAGGTAAAATTTGGTACACAGTTAGGGTATGCCATGAAAACACACAAGAAGGGATTTTTCAAAATTTTCCTGCAGGGGGAGAGAGAAAGCATTAAGACCTAACCTGAAGAACAACTTCTACTGTACTATTTTAGATGCAATTTTTTTGTTTTTATCTGCGTTGTGGTAGGGTATGCCATGAGAATGCACAAGAAGGGATTTTTCAAAATTTTCCTGCAGGGGGAGAGAGAAAGCATTAAGACCTAACCTGAAGAACAACTTCTACTGTACTATTTTAGATGCAATTTTTTGTTTTCAACTATGTTTAGTCTTCATTGAGTACTTAAATGTATTAAACTGATAACATTTTAGACATTGTTATAAACATTTTTATATATTTTGATTTTTTAACCAAACGTTTGAACTGTTTTAAATTCGAATTTGTTATTGCATATCGGTTCGATTATAGAACAATTCTAAGCATTCCAGAAAATTGATTGAATTAAAAATAGTTTGTTTGATTCTCAGCGGTAGGTGTTATATAACTACAAGTAAAATGGCAAAACTGTATTTGGAACAAGACTATGTCTCAGACTCACAACTAAGCGGAATCACTTTGACGCTCAAGGCAGGTCTTGTGCTCATTTTCCAATCTTCTTTGGTATCGCTGCTTTTGGGCGCTATCGTTCAAAGTTCACCAGCCATGACAATAAGGTCGTCCACGACGCATTTTCGATGAAATTAACCTATCCAATTTCAAAATTTCTCTCCATTGCGTGTCGGCCCGGGTTGAATTTTTGTCGACGTGTAACGAAAATTTCCCATTTTTGAAAAAATAATCGTGGCTATTGTATCGTCTGAGATTATTTTTTATTTTGCACAAACACTATACAGTTTAACCCAATTATAACGTCATCGGATATAATGACAACCCTAATATAACATCATATTTTTATCGGTCCCACGATATTACTATACTAGATAATGTTAAAAAAACCCACTTGTAACAACATAAAACCGTTTTAATGTCATATTTGAAGCACTCCCAAATTTACAAAATTAGATTACAAATTTTATTTAACATAGAAGAAACAATGTGTTCAGTCCTAAAGTCAGAGTTCACTTCTTAGAATGACTGTGGGTGGTACTCTCCCCACCTGACTTTGGTGGGGTGAGGTGCCTGTTTTGCCTGTTTGTAGAAGAGGGTCACCATTTTGTATTTTGATTTGGTTCTCGGTCCAGACTACCTACTGGATTCTTTATGCGCAAATGATTTGTGCACCTAATACTCTGTGCCAAATATCAACTCTTGAATGTACTCCTTCATACCTCTATGCTGGTAACATAAAATGGCAGTATGCTTTTATAAACAAGACATAGTCTTGTCAATTACTATGGTTGTTGAAATACTGAATATAAATGGGGTTTGCTTGTAAAATGAAACCAGACTGCAGGCATAAATAGATCATGAAATACAAATACAGTAAGATCCCACTTAACGCGGGGATGTATTCCTAGACAACAAAGCACTAAGTGAAACAGCATTAAACAAGGTCATTTTAACAGAGTAAATAGAAATAGGATAAAACATGACCAAAAACAACCAGATTTTACTTTAAGTTATTTTTATATTCATTTGTATAATAATATATGTTAAATAACAAACATATGCACACAGAAATGTAAAGTTCATTTTTTGTAACTAAGGTCCTGGCTTTTCTGAAATTCTTGTTCTTTTGCAATAAAGTCATAAAGTTTCATTTGTCGCTTTTTTCTTTCCTTAAGCAAATGTTGGTAGCAGTTAGTAGCGCATCCAAAATGCCTCATTTTACTTTTGCGCTTCTTTCAAAATCTGGGTCATTTGCTACAATTTGATCAAGGATTTTGATTATCGTTACCAAACTTTTACTAAGAAAATCTGTAGAGAAATTTTTTGGAATCTCTATTTTTCCAGTTCCACATGAATTCCATGTTCTGCCAAGTTCTTGAAGGTCATCATCGGTATGGCTCTCACCAGAAACCTGCAGTAACTCCTTAATATCCTGCTCATCTATATCTCCTAGTCCTGCTATATTAATTAGGTTGAGTTTGGAACCTAACGATACAGCAATAGGCTCTTCGAGAATTCTTTGATACCTTCAACCATAACTTCTACCACACTTCATGCATTTATCAGTTAATTCTTGCCAAGCAAAGTCGATATATTTTTTCCAAAATTGCATCAAACAAACATAGATTTAAAGAAAGTAGACCTTTTTGCCACCTTTTGCTGATTGGTTTGTGTTTGCAAATAATCATATTATATACAAATCAATGAAATGCCATGATAATTTAAATCAGTGTAAATTATGAGTGTTTTTTAGTCTTCAAGCGGACCGTGTTAAACAGGGTCTTACTGTACATATCAAAAACAAATACAATTAACACTGCAATGTAAAAGGAATTTAATACAGATGATATATCATATATATAATGCCAAACAACTACCAAATTATCAGACTATAATTTGGCAATGTAATTAATTATGTCAGTTGGCTTTAACTATAAATTGGGTTTGTGAATATATTATATAAGATATATATATAAGTGGCATGACTTCACCATACACCACACACAAAGTTTAATTAAAAGGAATTATTGTAGGTATATTTGAAACAAACTTCTTAATTTTTTCCATTGATT